TGACTACTGGAGCGTTCCTCCATTTCCAATAGGGATTGTTTTTTTCACAGATTATTTTTGACTTAGCCAAGCAGGGAGCCTATTTCAAAGCTCTCAATTTGGAAATCATGGAAGCTTTATAAAGTTTTCCACCTGCATCTCTTTTTAGGAACACAGTTCTTTATTCTCTAAGGGATGAAAACCTTTAGCATATAAAAACTTTGTTAAGCTGTCACTATCAATAGTGGGAAAAAAAATAACAATGGACAAAGAAGAAACAAATTGCATCTTCGAATAAGTTTTCTTGTAGCTCTTGTTAAAAACTATAACCTCTGATGTTAACTAAATTTAACCCATTCTGACCCTCTTGGCGGCCCTTAACCTCTTCTTTCTTCTGTTTCCTGTGGCTGCTGGAGAGAACTAGCCCAGTCATTGGAAAAGCGTTCTCTGTAGCACACAAAGGCCCAGCCTTCCTGCTACCCCATCAGGAGGCCCCGAGTCGACCGAGGGGTCAGCACCTGTGCCGAGAAGCAGGTGACAGTGAACTGCCTGTATCCTTCTTGGCAAGTTGTAAGAGTGTCTACCCTTCAAATATCACACTGCAGTTTCAGGCATTCAAGCTACTGAAGTTTAGATTTTCTTTGTGAATGCAGACTTTACACAAATTAATCTATTGCTGTTCAACTGACTGTAAAATTAGTAGATTTACTGTTGCAAAAAAAAAAAAAAGAAGAAGAAGAAGAAGAAAAACTAAGAGCTTTCACTTTCACTTTGGTAAGGTCAGGGGTGTGTCCTAGGCTGCCAACAAAGCAGGCTTTAAAAATCTTCGCAGCGGAACCTAGCAACTTGCAAGGTGAAAAAGCAGCAAAACAATGACTCCAATGTACAGTGGAAAGTCTACTTCCCTATACAGTAAACATCTGAAACTCCACATTTGAGGAACTTTCCAAAATGGAATAATTTGCCTTTAATTCCATTTGCCTCAACGATGGGAAACAGAGCACAAATTTATTTTATCACAAACATTCAATTTGCTGTCAGTCCTCTCCTCCTTAAATAGCCTTGTAACTACAACGTTTCACGTAGGTGTTTAAAAATAGTATAGGGTTGCATTCTTTTTTTTTTTTTTTTTTTTTGAGATGGAGTCTCCCCCTATCATCCAGGCTGGAGTGCAGTGGTGCGATTTTGGCTCACTGTAACCTCCGCCTCCCTAGTTCAAGGGATTCTCCTGCCTCTGCCTCCCGAGTAGCTGGGACTACAGGTGCGCACCACCATGCCCAGCTAAATTTTTTTTTTGTACTTTTAGTAGAGATGGGGTTTCGTCATGTTGGCCACACTGGTCTCGAACTCCTGACCTCATGATCTGCTCGCCTTAGCCTCCCAAAATGCTGAGATTACAAGCATGAGACACTGTGCCCAGCTGGGTTGCATTCTAAATGTAAAATGCTACCTAATCATTTCGTCCTGTTTTGCTTTATCTACACAGTAGTCAGCATGGTACATTTCGTGCTAGCTCTTTGTTGTTCTGCATGATGTCCTATGACGGTAATAGAAATTATCTTCATTGTTTCAAAACGATCAAAGTTAACTGAATCACCCCAAAACTCAATACCTCTGAAATGGAAAGACATGTCTCTGTTGTGTTCCAAATGAAACTTTTGAACCTATTTTCTGCTTCTGCGGTTGCACAAGAGACTTTTCACAGAAGATAAGTGGATCTTCCATATACAAATATTTTTATTTGGCAAATATGAAAGCTTTTTAAAAATTTATTACAATATGTCATTCATTTTAGACAAATTTATTTTGCTGATTCACAACCACCACCTTTTAATAACTGAGGCCATCATATTCTGACAAGAGAAATGATTAATCTGGAGTCTAATGTTACGGGAAACCTCACTCATGGTAAGGAAATTTATTTTGAATCTAGTAAATAGTCTGAGAGCACACAAAGGGTTATAACACAGATGTGGTCACCAGATGTTCTCCAGCTCTACTGCAGAACCAGACTAAGTAGCAACATGATGGATTTAGGTTATGTAAAGGAAAAGACTCCCGTCTTATAAAACATTGAAATGAGAAGCTAAATCTCCTTGCCTCGAGTTTTTTCATTTTGTTTTGTTTTGTCTTGTTTTAAATATAGAGCTGTTTACATGTTTGGAATGGATTAATTATAGTCCTGCCTGAGGAAAATGGTAGAGATTCTGTAAGAAGGTTTTCGGCTTTAATAGTTTCTAACAGACAATAATAGACACACAATATTGGGCTGAGAGTATCTTCAGGAAGTTTTCAACGAGTTACCTAATACTCAGCCAAAGCCTCTTGCATGCCTTGTTTCTATCTTTTGACAAGTCGGTAAACATCAGCTAAGGAGAGCATGGGCCCTCTTGGCTATTAAACTGGCCTCGTAATGACAGAGTTGCTGCCGTTTAAGATAACTGCTCTCAGCTACATGTACTTGGCACTACATAGGATCTCACACATAATAGACTTAAATTCCCCCAGTTTTAGCAAAACTGCCCAGGTGAGAGTTTATAATCTGGGGAGGGAGAAGTATATAATCTATGAACAATTATTTGTTGAAGAATATGCTGAATATCCGAACCCACATGGGTGTTAAAGTTTGAAGATGCTTCGTATCTTCAAAATAAACCCAGAATTTTGGCTGGGCAGGGTGGCTCACGCCTGTAATCCCAGCACTTTGGGGGGCCAAGGCGGGTGGATCACCTGAGGTCAGGAGTTCCAGACCAGCCTGGCCAATATGGTGAAACCCCATCTCTACTAAAAATATAAAAACTAGCCAGGCGTGGTGGTGGGTGCCTGTAATCCCAGCTACTTGGGAGGCTGAGGCAGGCGAATTGCTTGAACCCAAGAGATGGAGGTTGCAGTGAGCCAACATGGTGCCACTGCACTCCAGCCTCGGCAGCAGAGTGAGACCTCATCTCAAAAAAAAAAAAAAAAAAAACAAACCCAGGATTTTTATTAGTATTGGATTTTTAAATGAATTGTCACAGTCATTGTGGTACTATAAAGATGCAGCCCAGTGTTCAAAACTTTTTACAGAAATCACCCACATACTGATTATTTTGTGGATCAGATATGTTGTACCTCAATGACCTTGGGCTAAGCAAGTAAATCTCACATCCAATCCTATTTTGGAAGGTCCCCTCGGCGTTGGGGAAACGTGGGAGGACTTGGAAAGCTAACAGGCAAAGAGAGGGACAGGATATTTCCATTATTCCTTCATCAGAGCAAATCACCAATATATTCATTGCAAGAGAAAGTTCACGGGCATGCTATGGAAATTAACGTAGAAATTACCATGTGGTAGAAAACATAGGCATTTTTAGAGTCACCGTGATTTGAGTCTTGAGTTTCCTTTTTGAGGGGGTTAGATTATGTGTAGAAACGATAACATAATTGGGAAAGCGCTACACATTTCTCCGAGTCCTCTTCTATGTACAGAATGGAGTAGTTTACAAAAGATCTGTGGCATCGTGGTATCACTTCCCCAAACCAAAGTCATCTTTATTCAAGGATCTTCAAAGTCTGCCCCCACCAAGCAGAGTTCAAGGCTCTCAATGACTCAAAAGCTGCCAAGTGGCCTGGCGTGGTGGCTCACACCCGTAATCCTATCACTTTGGGAGGCCGAGTGGGGTGGATCACCTCAGGTCAGGAGTTCGAGATCGGCCTGGCCAACATGGTGAAACCCTGTCTCTACTAAAAAAATACAAAAACTAGCCGGGCGAGGTGGCGGGCGCCTGTAGTCCCTGCTACTCGGGAGGCTGAGGCAGGAGAATGGCGTGAACCCGGGAGGCGGAGGTTGCAGTGAGCCGAGATCGCGCCACTGCACTCCAGCCTAGGCGACAGAGCGAGACTCCGTCTCAAAAAAAAAAAAAAAAAAAAAAAGCTGCCAGGCTCCATTTCGGCTGGAGGTCAAAGGAGAGTTCACGAGAAAAGACGAAAAAAAAGGCTTCCCTCCCTCTGTGAGCATGTCTGTAATGGTCATCCCATTTCTGCAGGCCTCCTCCCAGGAACCAAAGCACATCTTCTAGGTGTGGAGACATCTGACAATGTCAATCTACAAAGCTTCCTAAACCACCTGCTCTGGACACAGCTGCCTTCAAACAGGGACTGCAAATGGATGCTGGGCGGTAGCTTCAGTTACCAGCGATTACTTGGTGTCCATCTATCTGTACTATTACCTTAGCAATTTTTAAGTCTTTAGTTTGGGCATTAAATGTTTCAGTTACTTGTACATACTTCACATCCTTTAATGTTTTCATGGACTCGTAACTTTACTGTTTCACTACTTCAGTCTAGCGATGCAAGGAACATTTAAAGTTTGCCTGGGCTTTGGGTTTTTTGGCTTTTTTTTTTTTCCTTGATTCTGCTACTAGTTGTGTGACCTTGGGCAAATTTGTCTCAGTTCCCTCATCTGTAAAATGGGTAATAATAGTAATTGGCTCATAAGGCTGTCCTTAAGATTAAATAACTTGAGATATGTTCAGTGCGTAGTACAGTGTCTGGCACATAGGTAAAAGCAATCATAAGTGTGGACAATTATAACTGCTGAGCACCTAACTCTCCCCAGGTATTGTGCTACTCACTCTATCCCCGAATCTACATCACACAAAATATCTTGGCATTGAGAAATAATTTTGATAGAATGAAATGAATCATTAATTCTTCTTGATTAACTTGGAAACAGCCAAGATGCACACCTGGACTTTCGGTCTCACACAAGAGTTGTTTCATCACCTCCCTATTTTAACAGTGAGCGCCGAGCTACCAGCAGCTGAGGAGGAAATGGAGATTTCGTCTTTGCTCTCATAGAACTATTTAAAGCTGAAGTCGTTTTGTCATGTGTAATAAAAGGTAGTGCTGATTCAAGGAGTTAATGAGAAATAAGGCAACGCCTTCCAGTGGACAAGTAGCCAATAAATGTTAGTTTCTCTTCATACCAGGAATCCAAACATTCCAGGTATGACGCCAGATTAGGTGGCTTCACGACTGTAGATTCGCAGTCTGCCCTTGAGGAATTTCTTATTGAAGAAGGCGGCGGGAACGGCGGCCCACACCCCCAGCACCTGGCTTTCGAGCGGGCTCCACGGGTCCGGGTCCGGGTCCGTTTCACCCTTCGCCAGCTGAGGCCCCGTTCGAACAGCTCTCCCAACTACAACGCGAAGGCTCTGACGCCCCGGCCCCAGCTGGCTTCGTTTTGCCTCCGGGAGCCGCGCTCCACCGGGGACCCAAGGGGAGCCGTTCGCACTCTGAAGCCGTCTGCTCACCTGCAAATCGGAGATAGCGCCCTTTCTCTCATGATCCTTATAAAAGACGCTTATAAAACACTTTATTCAGTGTTACATTAAAAAGACGTTTATAAAAGCTATTTATAAAGCCCTAGTGGGAGACCGAGATTGGAGTGAATGTAATATAACTGGAGGAAGGGCTGCTCCGATTGCTGCAGAAATTTGACATTAGATTCACCGCACCTGCGGAGCGGCGGGAGCCAGGTGAGCAGCAATTCCCCCTCAAGGACTTCCTCCGCGCCCTCCGCATTTTCTGTCGGCGGAAATGCATCCCAACTGTAGAAAAACGTGGCTCCACCCATCACCTCTCCTTTAAAGGACGCGGGATGAAGCCCCGCCCACTACGGAGAGCGAAGGGGACTCGCCGCGGAGCCGCTGTACGTGCGCCCGCCAGAGTGTACCAATCGCTTGCCCCGGCACAGGTAATGCTAAATATGAGGCGTGCGGAGCGGTGTGCGGACCACCACCGGGAGGACGTGAGCTTAGGGGGCGCCCCTGTAGAGGAGGCACCTGGAAGGTCACGGTCACCCTGTCCCGCCGGTACCGAGGCCGGAGAGGCCCCGCAGGTCCTGCCGCAGAGTCGGGGGGTTCTGTCGGGCTGTAATGCCATTTTCAGGGAGGCCGCTGCACGAACTTCCCAAGGATGCTAGACCTAGCGTCGGCGTCGGCCCCGGCCCTACTGAGCTTTCCTAGTTCTGCCCCGCCATGCGCGCTCGCGCACGCGCGCACGCACGCACGCAGTACGTCCCTACGTCCCGTCTGTAACCCGGACGCGCCGCCGGTGGACTTCTCCAGGTGGGCGTGGTCGTCGTGTTACCAACGACCGGGTCCGGGGTTCCCGGAAGTGCCCCTGCCCCTTACTGCCTGGCACCTCTGGGGCAGAACGAGCAAGGCGAAGGGCACCTGCGCAGGGAAGGCTGAAGAAATGCATTGTTCTTGCTGCCTGCTGCTGCGGGAGGAGACCTTATGGGGGAAGGTCGCTAAGTGGGATTTATTTTCTCATTTATCATTTAGTAGGCTCCGTGGCTTAAGACTTGAACGAAGTAAACTAAGTTCTCTTACTGAGAAGTCTCAGTTTCAAGTACGTGTTGTGAAAGGCCTAAGTCTAAGAAAAGTAGAGGGAGGAGAGAAGAATCTGGAAAATTGACTACTATTTATTGTGCCAGGCACAACACAGTAATGAATAAGTCGATTTTGTTCCTTGCTTCGTAGAGTTTACGGTCTAGTGATGGAGAGCAGTAGTACTAAGATCATCACAAAACTGTAATTGTAATGAATGTTTTAAAGGAAAGATAAACTGGAATGTAGAAGCATTCAGTGTTAGGCTCAGTAAATTGCGTGAGGGTTAGGAGACCTGGCTTAGTTTGGGAGGTAATCAGAAGAATGCGCTAGGCATTGATCTGGCTTTTCCTAAACCAAGGACAAGAGTACTGTATTTCAAAAGTCGAATGGCCAGTGTGGCCTAGGCATGAAGGAGAAACTGGAGAGGTGGGAAGGGCCTTTTGGCCTGGTGAAGGTGTAGATCCTTAATCTCGGGGCAGTTTTATTTAAGATGAGGAGGGTCCTGACGGGCGTAGTGACCGCAGTGCAGTGGGAACTGGTTGCCAGGGCTCAAGCCGAGTTAGGAGACTGGCAGGAATCCAAACTAGGTGGTCGATGTTTTAAACTGACGGTGGTGACAGTGGATACGGAGAAAACTGGATGGATTCGCGCGGGGTTTAGGAAATGAAGTCGATGAGGCTTGGTGTTGGGTTGACTGTGAAAGTGAAGGAAAGTGGAGGAGTCAAAGGTGTCTTGGAGGTGACTGGAGGTTGTGGATGGGTGGTGACCCCATCACTAGAGTTCTGGAAGAAGACTAACATGGGATGAACATAGGAGAATAAGTTCAATTTTATTTATTTATTTATTTGTTTTTTGAGAGAGAGTCTCACCCTGTTGCCTAGGCTGCATGCCTAAGCTGAAGTGCAGTGGTACGATCTCAGCTCACTGCAACCTCTGCTTCCCGGGTTCAAGTGATTCTCCTGCCTCAGTCACCCAAATAGCTGGGATTACAGGCTCGTGCCACCAGGCCCGGCTAGTTTTTTTGTATTTTTAGTAGAGACGGGGTTTCACCATGTTGGCCAGGCTGGTCTTGAACCCTTGACCTCAAGTGATCTGCCCTCCTCAGCCTCCCCAAAGTGCTGGGATTACAGGTGTGAGCCACTGCGCCCGGCCATAAGTCCAGTTTTTAATACTGAGTCTTTAGCTCTGGGTTTAAAAGCTTTTTAAAAACATATGGTTATTATTTCAACTTAATAGCTAAAGAAATATGGTTAAATAGTTGGCCAAAGATATATGTTGGCTTTTTCCAGTGTTCTGAGTGGGAGTTCTAGCACGTAAACAGCTCAGCCTCATTATGGAGAGTACACTTTGTGCTTCCTATGGAAGAGGAAACCAGAGCCAAGGGAGGGCAGCATGAAGGCCCAGTAAGGTAGTGCTGGTCCTCTCGGATTAAGGCTGCACTGCTCAGGCTAGAATGGGGCAACTGAAACAGTTTGCAGGCAGAAAAAAGGACTTTATGAAACTTCTTTGGAAGGTGTAAAAGAGTTCTTAGGGTCGTGAGAATTGGCAAAATTAATTTCACAAATATTTAGTCCGCTAGAGTCTATGCAACTTTGATCCAGTGTCCCAGGAAAGAACAGATAACAGTATGAGCTTGTGAATATCAGCTATATGAGAAAAGCAGTGAGTGAACAAATCATAGAAGTTATTTTCGTCTCTTCAGTCCACATGATTTCAAATGCATGCAAGTGATTTAATTTTTTATTGGACAAGAATGCCCACCCACGCACCCCTCGTATCTACTAAACTACATATTTAAATCATGTTCCAGGAAGTTTCCTTGCAAATATTTTATCAGTACTTCCAGTGGAATGCAAAATAATACAGGGAATACAGCTGTCCTTTGGAGCAGTAATAATTGTTTTTTTTTTTTTTTTTTTGGTAAAAGAATGTTCACAGCAGCTATTCGTAGGAGCCAAAAAAAAAAAAAAAAAGGGAACAGCCTAGGTGTTCATTAACAGAAAACTAGATTTAAAAACTGTGATATATTCATATACTTGGAGGACACTTCTTAGAAATAAAAAGGAACAAAGTAATGATCCGTACAACGTGAATTAATCTCGAACCATGCTGAGATGCCTTACAACAAAGAGTAGATACTGTTTGATTCCGTTTATATGAAGTCTTAGGACAGACTCTGATGGGAAAAGATCAGAACAATAGTTGCCTCTTGGGGATGGAGATCGATATGGAAATGGCAAGAGGGAACTTTCTGGGATGATGGTGATGTTTTGTCGATAGGAGTTTTGGTTACAAAGGTGTATGCACTTGTCAAAACTCAGATAAAGTCAGAGTAATCATCGAATTAAAAATGGATATACTACTATAAAGTTATGCACTATAAGTAATTGACATTAAGATAATTGACTTGTAGAATATTGTGGATGTCTGGGAGAGTATAGTTGTGGGAGTGAGTGCAGCAGATGCACCAGGATTATCATGAGAATGTAAGCATTTGTTTCTATTTTGAGTTAGTCTCCCAGCCTATTCAGCCTAGTGTTTATGTCACAGAGGCATCAGAGATTTTCATCAGAGAACGTGGCTTCCTATTTTCCATCAACCTTGAAAGGTTAGGGGCAGTCTCAGGCATCCTAGCGCAAACTACTCTTGACCCCAGTTATAGTGTTTTCTTACTCTTAAAGTTCATCTGTTTTTTTTTTTTTTTTTTTTTTTTTTGGCCTAACCCAGTGGTTCTGAACAGGATAGGGAAGAGGAAACATCTGTGTTTTGAAAAGCATCCCCAGGTGATGCGGACAGGCCCTGGTTTCTGAGAAACACCGCCCCATTGTAGACCAGTTGACTTTTAACCATTCACTAGCAAAAAAGTGTACCAGTTCTGCCTCAAACTGAAACCATCACCCTTTATTTTATTCTTCTAAAATTTTTATTTCAGTAGCTTTTGGACTGCAAGTGGCTTTTCATTACATGGACGAATTATATAGTGGTAAATTCTGAGACTTTCGTGCACCGTCACCCGAATTGTGTACATTGTACTTAATGTGTACTTTTTTTATGCCAGCCTTCCTCCCATCCTGCCCCATCACTATTTTATGATAAGACTTTTACACTTGAGTTTAGGGAAAACTAAATGAAGAAATAAAGGCAGTATGCATTACCAAAAAATCAGAATTTTAAGTTTATAAAGTTCCTTATTTATGGGTCTCTTAGATATAGGCTTGAAACGAATAAAGGGAATATTTTAAAAATTATGTACGAAGCCAGAATGCCATTGTATTAAATTACAGTGAAATTTAGAAGTTACACAGACTAGAATAGTTACATTGGCATTACTAGTGAACCGTTCCTCCCTCTAGGCTATTGATTTGTTCTTTAAAAATGTATTAATTATTGAACACCCATATAACCATAACCTAGATTCAGCAAATGCTGCCATAAGTGCATTGTTTATCTTTTCTGCTGAATGGTTTCAAAGCAAGTGATAGATGTCATGACACTATCCTCAATACATCAGCATTTGTTTCTTAAGAATTCCATTTTCACACCTAAGAAAATTAACAGACTGGGTGCCCTGGCTCAAGCCTGTAATCCCAACACTTCAGGAGGTCAAGGCAGGTAGATCATTTGAGGTCAGGAGATTGAGACCAGCCTGGTCAACATGGTAAAACCCCATCTCTACTAAAAATGCAAAAATTAGCTGGGCAGTAGTGGTGCACACCTGTACTCCCAGCTACTTGGGAAGCTGAGGCAGGAGAATCGCTTGAACCTGGGAGGCGGAGGTTGCAGTGAGCCAAGATTGCCCCACTGCACTCCAGTCTGGGTGACAGAGTGAGAACCTGTCTCAAAAAAAAAAAAAAAAGAAAAAAGAAAATTAACAATACGTCTCTAATAGTATCTAATACCTAGTCTCTATTCAGATTTCCCCTCATCTCCAACATGTCTTTTCAGCATAATTATGTCTCCATGATTTTTTTTCCGCTCAAGAATAGCTTTCCCCTTCCCTTTTCATTCCCAATGGCATTGGCTTTTTTAGACACTAACCAGGTGTCTTGTTCCATCTGGATTTGTCAGATTGTTTCCTTGTGGCATCTTCTGTTGTTCCTGAGTCTGGCCCTTGTATCCCCTGGAAACTGGAAGCTAGACCCTGCATCGGGTTCAGGTCAAACCTTTTTTCAAAGCTGCTTCATAGAAGGTGCCATGCACTTCAGGTAGCTTCCCACCCAGAGATGTGGCAAGCATGGCAGGTTGTCCCACTGTTGGAGATGCTGAGTCTGACGTTTGCTTGGGATGACAGACAGCTGTCTCCTCAGCAGAGTGTGCTTTTCCCTCTCAGTCTGAAAGTCATCTGTGGTGACCCTTTGGCATCAGCTCTCTTGCATCCATCCCTGCCTGAATCCGTGGTTTCACTGGGGTTGGAAAAATGGTGATTTTCTTTTGAAACAGCGTCTAGCTCTGTTGTCCAGACTGGAGTGCAGTGGTGTGATCAGAGCTCACTGCAGCCTCAACCTCTTGGGCTCAAGTGAACCTCCTTCCTCAGCCTCCCCAGTAGCTGGGAGTACAGCTGCGTGTCAACACATCCGGCTAATTTATTTTTTGTAGAGACTGGGTCTTGCTATGTGGCCCGGACTGGTCTCAAACTCCTGGCCTTAAGTGATCCTCTTGCCTTGGCCTCCCAAAGTGCTGGAATTACAGGTGTGAGACACTGTGCATGGCATGATTTTCTAATTTTACTTTTCTTTCGTGTTTATTAGCTACCATTCTTCTCTACAGAAGAGCGTTTTCTCATCAATCGGGGGTGATTACAGTTCTTCCTAAAAAGGTAGGATAAATGCTCAGTTCTTTTTACTTAATTACCAATTTTCAAAGTAAAGAATCAAGATAATAGTCCCATGCAGTTGTGGCAAATTATTTTCATAGATTTTTGCATATTCAGTGTATTGACATGAATGACGGTAATTATGCCTTACTGTTTAAATTACACCAGAATTGACCAGTGGGAGTCTCTTCATGCTGCCAAACTGTAAATGACATGTAAACAAACAAAATAATAATACCATCATGGAAATCTGAAAGCTAAATATTTGACGACATAAAGGAACATTTTTTAATTGGGATAATGTTACTGTGAGTATTAAAAAGATTAAGGAGTACCTCTTAGAGATACATACTATTTCCTGAAAAAGTAGGATTTACTTCGAAAGCCTTCCTGGATGGCTGCGGGGAGATAGTTGAGGGGTAAAGATGAAACACAGGTGCTGTTTATTATCCAGTTCTTTCTGTATGAGGTTGAAAGGTTCCCTAATAAAAAGTTTTTAAATTATGAATTTGTGTTCATAGCTGCAATTTAAATGTAATATTACAGGTTGTTTTAACTTTGTATTTATATTTTTATCTATAAGGGCCTATTTTGAAGAAACGTGTATTTTCAATTTTGCTGATTTAAAGCCAGTATTGAGTTAGTATTAAAGCTTAATTGCAATGAATTGTATTGTTTGCTGTAGACATCAAAAAAAATTGAAGCTTCTTAAAAATTTAAACTTAAATTTCAATAATGGCAAAGGACTTTAAAAGTTATATACTTCCAGTGTTTTTCTGCTCTTTCCCTTTCCTTCGTTTCCTTCTTGGAAAGTGTTTTTAAAGCTTTTTAAAAAAACCTACATCATTTTTCTGAAATAATCTTTGTTTTGTAAATAAATAAAGTTTATTTTCAAGTATAAAAATAATACTTATAAAATACTTATAAAAATTTGAGAAATACTGGCAATTAGGAAAAATAGGGGAAAGAATTGCTTTTGTCTTCAACATTTTTATAATTTTTTTCCATCTTTTCCTATATCTAGTTATTTTGTTTGCTTGTTTGAAAAAAATCCTACATTTTGAAATTTTTTTTAATTTTAATATGTTGATAATTTATTAAACAAGGCACTTTAGCTTTCATTTATAATTACTAAGGGAAAAAGATAGCCAATATTGAGTTAGTATTAAAGCTTAATTGCAGTGGACTGTTTCATCTACTGTGTACATCAAGATTATTTAAATTTATATATATCTATTTAGTAACATGATTTTACATGTGGTAACTTCTACATCCTTGCTAATACAGACTTTGGAAAGAAACAACACTGATTTTAGACATAAAGTTTATAGAGCAGGCTTGTGAGCAGGAACTTAGGCGTCCCCTAGCAGAATACCTAGTGACATTTGGGACTGGATGCTGTTGCTGGTTTTCTGATGATAAGTGAAAAAAAATTCTTGTCTGATCTCTTCAGATTTTTCTTCTTTTTTGGTTTGGAAGCTTCTTCCATTCACAAAAGAAACCGTATGTCAGTGATTTAAAATCACTTTGCTCCCACCTTAGAGCCTTGACGGCATCTACAGCTGGAGCCGCCAGCCGGGTAATAACCATAAATCAATGCGTGTCATGCACTGTGGATGGAGCATCTGGCCACAGATCCTCACGAATACTGACGGGTGTCTGAAACGCCAGCTAGAAATGTGAAGGGTGTAGCTTGCAGGCATTCGTGTGCATTGGCGGGGAGCGATGCATCCGAAGGCTTGGAGGTGAAATGCCAGCAGCCCCGCCGTAGCTCCTTGGCTGTTTCCTTTGGCCCATGCATTCATTCGACGTGTACACGCTGAGCCAGGCTCTGGGCTGTAGTGCCGGGGAACGTAGCAGTGAACAAAATGGACAAAGTCCATGTTCTCATGAAGCTTTCATTCCAGTGAGGAAAGATGATGAACGTATATGCAAATAAATATATAATGTGTCCAGCAGTGATAAATGCAGTAAAGTTTTTAAAAGGCAAGGGAATAGGTTTGAGAGTGTTGGGGTTTGCTCTTTTATGGAGGGGTCAGGGAAGGACTTGCTGAGAGGTAGCATTTGAGCAGAGACGAGGTAAATGAACCATGAGGCTGTCTGAGGGAAGAGTATTGCAGGGAGAGAGAATTTCTGGGTGCCAGGACTCAGAGGATGGGTGTGTTCACTGTTTACAAGGAACAGCAAGGAGGCTGGAACAGAGTGAGCCAGAAGAAGCACGGTCGGCACAGGCCAGTGGGCATGGTACAGGGCTTGGCTTTTACTTGGAGAGATACTAGCCAGGGGAGGGTTGTGGGCAGAGGAGGAACGTGATCCGACTTACGCATTTTTAAGGATTGCTCTATGTGCCCTGGCAGTAATAAATTCTAGGGCGTGAGGGCAGAGGCAGGAAGACCAGTCAGGAAGCTGTTACTGTGATAGTTTTACTGTGTTGCAGTGGAGCAGCGGGTTGGGAGTGGGATGATAGCAGTGGAGGAGGTGAGAAGTGGTTATACTGGTTGAACAGTAGGTTTTGCGGATGGGTTGCTGAGAGAAAATAAAGAGTCAAGGATAACGTTGGTATTTTTGGCCTGAGCAACTAGAAGAATGTGTTGCCATTACATGAGACAGGGAAGACTGAGGGAGGAGCAAGTTTTGTGTGGAAGACGAAGCATTGAACTTTGGACGCGTTAATCCTCAATGACTATTACATATCTAAGTGGAGAGGTTGGGTAGGCAGTTAACCCTACAGGTGTGGAACTCAGAGAAGAGCTTGGCACCAGAGCTATAAATTAGTGTTGGGTGTTACCATACTAGGTAAGGAGGGTGTTGAGAATATGCATGTCCATCACTTTGTTTAATTTGCCCTATTTTTTGCATATCACTCTTGAACACGAGGGGTGAGAGATCAGTGGGTTGGACAGCCCGGTGGGCTCAAAGCCAGGGACCAAAGGGAACTTTCAGTTTTAAACACCCCAGGAGATTCTGGGACCATTCTTTGAGAAGCACCCTGAAGACACCTTCTGTCTTCCTCTTTCATCTTGACAAGTCACACCTCTCAGAGTTTGTGATTCTCTAATGATTCCTAGCATGCCCTAGATGAGATTAATGGGTCCTCTCGGCACTCTTTCAGCCTGTACTTCTCTAAGATTTACCAAATGCACGAATGGAAGGACAGAAAAGCAATTAAAAAATCAATGTGTGATTTGTAAGTGCTTCAAATTCAGTCTCATAGAAATGAAGTAAAGGCGCTGTCACCATACATGCCTCTGTTAACATTTGGTAATAATACCTGCCTTACCTTGAGAATGATCTTTATAGTTTATGAGGTCAGTCAGCACTTTGATTTATGTCACAGTGTTTTCCGACAGTCTCAGTTATTCTTGCAGTGGGCTGGCTTCCTTCCTGGAGAGGTCCCTTTCCCATAACGTGTTCCTATCTGCTATGTACCATCAGATGTATTGAAAAATTGTTAACAGTTCATTATATTAAAAGTTTATCAATTGGTGTTTATGAATCACCAAGCATATTATGTACTGCATCCTCATAAATAAACCCCTAAGATGATATTTGCTTTTGGAGTTGGCACTACGAGATGCATGAGAAATAGTTGACCCTAGAACAACACAGGTTTGAACTGCATGGGGTCCACATATATGTGGATTTTCCTCTGCCTCTGCCACCTCTGAGAGAGCAAGACCAAACCCTCCCCTTGTTCCTCCTCCTCAGCCTGCTCGACGTGAAGACAGTGAGGATGAAGACCTTCATGGTGATCCATGTTCACTTTATGAGTAGTAAATATATTTTCTCTTCTTCATGATTTTAATGACATTTCTTTTCTCTAGCTTGCTCTGTTGTAAGAATACAGCATATAATACGCATGGCATACAAAATATGTGTTCATCAACTGCTTATGTTATTCATAAGGCTTTCAGTCAGCAGCAGGCTATTTTAAGTTTTTGAGGAGTCAAAGTTATACACAGATTTTCAACTGCACAGGGAGTCTGTTTCCCTAACTCCCAAGTTGTTCAGGGGCCAACTAAGTAGTCAAATGAGATCATGGGTACAGGGGGAAAAAAAAAAAAAGTAAAAGTGCTGTGCAAATCCGGTTTATTCTAATCGCCACTTGTCTTGGGGATAGTACCACCATGAGTGAGTTAGTCTGGCCAGAGTCACCTGCTAGTCCACTTTATCAGTGTAGACTTCCTGTGTGTGGATCTGAAAGTCTAGAGAACAGCAGTTTCCTTCACACTTGCAATTACAGCCTCCACAGCCTCACACATGCCCTTGCCGTGTACCACAATGTCAGACCAAGGGAATAAGTGATTGAATTTTAATGAACTCTTCTTACTACGTTCTTAGGATGGCTGCTCTTTTTCTAAAGAGATTAACACTACAAACTGTAAAGTCTGAAAATAGTTGCGTCAGATGTTTTGGTAAACACATCGTGCAAAAGACAGCACCAGCACAGTCGTTCCCTATTGCTTCTGCCCCGAGACTCTCCTTCCTAATTCATGTAGAAGCCTTTAGTACCGTTGAAGACACCAAGAGTGAAGGAAAAAAGAAAAAAAAGAGTCAAACAGCTTTTGGTAACATTGGAAGAAGAATTGGTCAGCGAATTATTCACTTATTTGATGAGAAGGGCAATGATATGGGAAACATGCACCGAGCGGATGTGATTAGACTTATGGATGAGCGAGACCTGCGACTGGTTCAAAGGAACGCCGGCACAGAGCCTGCAGAGTACCAGCTCATGACAGGAATGCAGATCCTCCAGGAGCGGCAGAGGCTGAGGGAGATGAAGAAGGCTAGCCCCAAAACTGGTAGGTTTTTTGCTGTTGGCTCCCTGAGTCCTTTAAGGGCTACAAATCAGCAGTTTAAATTCTAGCATTTGTCAAGGTGTCTGTGACAACAGGGAAATGAGAAACTGGAAAATTCACGATTCCACCACCATTCCTAGTGTCTGTCTTTCTTCCTCCTTCCTGTACTTACTTCTGTTCCCATTATTCCATAATACCCTGCCCATTGTCTCTTCCCTTTAAACCTGTGTAAAATGTAGGAGAAACCAGGCAAACAAACCAAAGTGAAGAGAACTCTTTCCCCTGTCCTGTGGCCTTCTCCCAATGCCGCGGCAAGCTCAGTAGCTGATGGGTGAAACGGAATGAGATTAGAAGGGGTATGTTCAAGTTTCCTGCCCTCTGCCCTCTGCCGGGCCAGTTGCTTAACCTCCCTCCTTTAGTTTTCTTCCACTTCTTCATCTCTAAAGTGGAGGTGTTTGGTTAATTATCTGGAAGCACCTTTTTATTTTTTTTGAGACAGAGTCTCTGCCTCCCACCCAGGCCGGAGTTCAGTGGTGTGATGTGTGCTCACTGCAACCTCCGCCTCCCAGGCTCAAGCAATTCTCCTGCCTCAGCCCCCCCAGTGGCTAGAATTACAGGTGCCCGCCACCACGCCCGGCTAATTTTTGTATTTTTAAGAGAGACGGGGGTTTCACCATGTTGGCCAGGCTGGTCTTGAACTCCTGGCCTCAAGTGATCCACCCGCCTCAGCCTCCCAAAGTGCTGGAATTACAGGCGTGAGCCACCGCGCCCAGCCTGGAAGTACCTTTTAAACTCTAAAGTGATTAACAGAGCATCTCCCATGCCAAAGCGTTTTGTTACAGTATCAGTAGTAACACTCATATATATATACAACTAGTCACTTCACAAGGCACTTGCCATTTAAGCCTCAGAGAAGTCATGAATTGGATATTAAGCAAAGATGTTTGTTTTTCATAGTTCCTAAAAAGTGCTAATCATTATGAAAGTTCAGTGGATGGCGCACGGGGACAGGTGTCAGATGACTGCTCCCAGGACTGCATCGTGAGGTTGTGTGCCTTCAGAAAATCATGTTATCTGCAGCTCAGTTTTGTAACACCACATTTAACAAGGACGTTGACTGGAAAACAAAAAAATAGAAGAGACCAACTAGGGAGAATAAGGACATCAAACTATGTCACTTTAAAAAAAAAAAAAAATCACTGGGCATGTTGGCTCAGGCCTGTAATCCCAGCACTTTGGGAGGCCAAGGCAGGTGGATAGCTTGAGCTCAGGAGTTCAATACCAGCCTGGGCAATAGAGTAAAACCCTATCTCTACAAAAAATTTAAAAATTAGCCTGGTGTGGTGGTGCAAACCTGTGATCCCAGCTACTCGGGAGGCTGAGGTGGGAGGATCACTTGAGCCCGGGAGGCAAAGGCTGCAGTGAAGAACCATGATCACACCACTGCACTTCAGCCTGGGTGACAAAGCGAGACCCTGTGTTAAAAAAAAAACAAAAAACAAATAACAGGGTCTTGCTCTGTTACCCAAACTCTGGAGTGCAGTGGTGTGATTTCGGCTCACTGCAGCCTCCATCTCCTGGGATCCAGCAATCCTCCCACCTCTACCTCCCACGCAGCTGGGACCACAGGCACACACCACCATTCCTGGCTTTTTTATTTTTTGTAGAGACAGGGTCTTGCTATGTTGCTCAGGTCTTGAACTCCTGAGCTCTAACGATCTGCCCGCCTCAGCCTCCCGAAGTGCTGGGATTACAGGCGTGAGCCAGCACATCTGGCCCCCAATCTTTATGATGAACACTGGTGCATACTCTAGGGTCTGTGAACCCAAATGCATCAAACTGCTGTCAGCAGCAGTGTATGCAATTTCTCTACCTCCTCCCTCATTCTGTCAGACTCTAGTTTTTGTCATTTTAATGGTGAGAAATTAATGTGTATTTCACTATTTTTTCTCTTCTGTGAATGCCTGTTTGTATTCATTTTTCTACGTAGATGGTTTTTCTTCCTGATGTATAGGGCTCTCTGTTGTGTATGACACAAAAAACCTTATCCCAGTTAGATTTTTCACTTTTTGCCTTTTTTTCTTAATGAATTCCTTCCCTATCCTGAGATCACAAACCATTTTGTCTTTTCTTCTATTTGTTTTAAAGTTGTATTTTTCACCTGTAGAACATTAGTACATCTGGGGAGACCTAACTTTTTGTCATCTATAAACTTCTCAATTGTCCCAACACCTTTATTGAATAGCCTGTTCCTTCTCTATAATTTTCCAGTAGGCAGAATTTCTGGAGACAGAGGGCATGAACACAGGACATAGGGACCCTTACCTGTCCAACAGTCTGGCTGACCCCTTAGTAGCAAGGAGAGCATCTCAAAAGGAGTGGGTAGAGCACTCCCAGATGCCAACCCACAGCTGAAAGACGAGGATATTAAGTGTACCATAAAGCCAAACTTAATCCTTTAAATGACTCTCTTTTGGTGTTCTTTCAACAAATGATGGTTAACAATAAATGGAAGCATTTCAGATTTTAAGTACCCTTCTAGGGCAGGTAAAAAATTGGTACCTTTATGTTTATCTCCCCTATTTGAAAAGACACGTACTGGTGTGTGAAACTGAAAGCCAGACGAGAAGACTGTCAGGTGGCAACCTAAGATTTTGTGATGGGCATGTTGGGAAGTTCAGGGTTCGCAGTGGACTAGTCAGTAGTCCTTGCACCCTATCTGTTTCAAACCAGGACCAACCCAGACAAAGGAACTGACTTTTTCTTCAAATATTGGACAACATGATTTGGACACAAAGACTAAACAGATTCAACAGTGGATTAAGAAAGAACGCCAAGTCCGGATTACTATAAAGAAAGGAAAAAATGTAGACGTGTCAGAAAATAAAGTGGTAAGTAAAGAAGGCACAAGCCATTGCTTGTGCTTTTGGTCTTCTGATCTAAAAATACAATTGTAGGCCGGGCGCGGTGCTCGCACCTGTAGTCCCAGCACTTTGGGAGGCCGAGGCGGGTGAATCACGAGGTCAGGAGATCAAGACCATCCTGGCTAACATGGTGAAACCCCGTCTGTATTCAAAATACAAAAAAAATTAGCCGGGCGTGGTGGCAGATGCCTGTAGTCCCAGCTACTCTGGAGGCTGAGGCGGGAGAATGGCGTGAACCCGGGAGGCGGAGCTTGCAGTGAGCCGAGATCGCCCCACTGCACTCCAGCCTGGGCAACAGAGCGAGACTCAGTCTCAAAAAAAAAAAAATGTAGAAAATCTGAAATATAAAGACAAAGTGACTGGTAATTCTTCCACCCAGTGATGTTAACAGCTTTCTAGTTTGCTTTTCAAAACTAAGCATACTGTAGATATAGCTTCCATTAGTGTGTTTAGCCATATGAAAACTTTTCATACTTTAAAAGCAATATACTATTGATTTATACATTGTAGAATAACCCTTAAACAGGAAAATTAGAAACTTTATAGACTGATCTTTTGTTTCCTCTTTGTACTTATGAGGGGCATTAATTATGTAGACCGTCTTCTAGAAAGTACGTAGTTTCCAATCCCGGAAGTGTATGGAATACCTGTTTTGCCTTTTTTTTTTAAAGTTAGATAACTTTAGCATCCACTAAGGGCATCCTTAGTAATCCAGCTCCACAGTAGAGTCACTTAGCATAGGTTCCAACCCAGCTGATGCAGACTTTCTTGAGTCCAGGTATCCATTTGTTTCAGCCACTGAGAGTGACTCCGTTCGGGGAAGTAGAGTGTGCTGAGAACTGCTCGGCTGACATCTTGGGGATGAGAAGGTATTTTGCCAGTGCCCAAACCCAGTGCTTTCTGTTTGGGGGAGAGGGTAATCTGAGCCAAACGGAGCCTCTTAGTGCCATGACGAAGTGGAGATTGAAAATTAGGATTCAGCATGTCAGTTTAGTTACATGGTGTTATTGTACAGATTTCAGTCAACCTAACCAGATATATATGAACTCATTAGCTAATATTCAAGGGTGCCGGTTTTTGTGAATGTTCGAGTAGAACACTAGAAGGCACCAAAGCCTCTGATTTTAAATTAATCTCTGGCTGTTTCCCTTTTTTAGGAGGAGATATTTCATCAAATACTCCAGACTATGCCTGGAATGGCTACATTCTTATCTAGGCCACAAGCTATTCAAGGAGGAAAAGCTTTAATGTGTGTTCTTCGTCCTTTAAGCAAAAATGAAGAGAAGGCATATGGAGAAACTCAAAAGACCCAGAAAAGAGACACTTTGAACCAAGACCAGGGAAATGATAAGGAATCAGATGTTCTGCATCAGTAATTTTAATAAAGCATGCTCTGAGAGAAAGTAAGCTCCTTCGTTTACCGTCCTTGAAACAAAGCAGTGCAGTTCTTAGCTGAGGGTAAGTACTGCAACTGTCGAGAGCACCTTGTCTTCCACACAGTTGGGTGACTCTCCGTTTTGACACAAAGATAAGCCTTGCCCTTGTTTCCTTTTGGGAGGGATATATCCACTGAGATGAGAGGCCAAACTCCGTTTTTCACGAGATTTTTTGACCTTTGGGAATAAGGAAGACACACGATTAGAATTCAGAATCAAAATTATCTGAGTTAATTTTACGACAGTCATATGTACCAGCAGGTATAGTATACAACACTGCTTTATGAGGAAGTCAAGTCTTCAGCAGTAGTGCAGACACACACAGTAAAGCAGCTGAAAAGAATTCCAAACAGACTCCTTCTGGCTTTAAACAATTTCTGTTTGAAAAATAAGCTGCCTAAGTAGTTTCAACTTACTTTGAGCTTCATTTTCTTCTTGTCAGGATCATGTACAACAGCATGCCTAGTGAGACTTTGCTAAAATGAAAGAAAGTTATTAATGAAACATTAATATGAAAACTGTGTTGTGAACGCATAGACTACAGGACCGCGACTGTGAGGGTGAGTGCTTACTTTCATTGCAAATGTTTTGCCACAGCCGGCGTGTTCACACACAAAAGGGCGCCTTTCCTCATGGAAGGAGAGGATATGGCTTTGGAGATTAAATACAGTTGTGTAGGTTCTTCCACAGCCTTCTCTTGGACAGCGACATACATCCCTCTCTGGGGCATGAGTTTTCATGTGTTGCTTAAGGTAATCTTTGCGTTTAAATGTTTTCTGGCATACTTCACATAGTATTTCCTCTGGTGGGACAGACAGACAAATTTCACCAATTTCCCCAGATACCACCATTTAGAAAAAATTAATACATAAATAACATTCAGTGCCTACAAATACAATCTGATTTGCAAATACAAATCAGAAATTCCCAAGGAACCTCCGTTTTTATCACCTAGGAAGTTTGTCTCAACTCTCTGAAGTTCTTAAATGCCACAAAGTCATTGCTCACTTGCCAAGAGGCAGGGCTCTCAGCAAGGTGACTGCGGGGAGGTACAGAACATGAAGCAGACCAAACGGTGTCCTTCCTTGTCCCCCAGTCTGCTGGGTACTACTGACCAGGCTGTCCCACAGAACAGCAGTGCCTCCCGAAATTCTTCACTACAGACCTGCCACCGCCTTCAGCATGCTAACTGTGCATGGAGGGGATGGCTCAGAGACCTAGCACAGCTCCAACGTCATACCCAGCACTTCACAAAATATCATATAGAAACCCTTTTACTTTAAAGCGCACAGCATTTCACTCTTGAAAAGCACAAAACGAGTTCTGTGGGGACAAACATTTACACCATGCCTGCCTTACCTTTATGGGTTTCTCTCACATGTTTCAGAAGTTCTGTCCATGTTTTTGCCACAAAGGAACATCCTTTTTGACATACATAGCCTATGTAAAAAAATTGGTGCATTGTCTGTCATGAATATTCAGTGTAAACACTGACCATAACTACAAAGAAAACTTAGGTGCTTATATAATTTTCTATTCCCCTCCTAATAGTACTCAACTCAGCCTCCTGAGGTGGGAATAAAAACTAAAAAAAAGATTTACGTTATAGTAAAACTGAACAGTGGCACAGCAAGGTGCCTCCCTCTAAGGATTTCACCTTCCTGTGAAGCAGACTTCACAGAGTTCCCCTCTTCTCAGCATGATCATGGAATAGGCAGACTTCACAGGAAGGATGCCTTCCCCTCTCATCAGCACATTCGTCAGTGTGACGTGTACCCAGGCACTTGAACAAACAGCACATTACATGTGAACAGCAATGACACGGCAGTGGAAAAACAGACATACACAGTGCCTCTTTGGACAAGAATGTAAGACCCAAATAAGCAGGATGGTGTCCCCTGCCCACAGAGTTCCCTTCTTGTCAGCGTGATCACGGAACAGATTCAAAGGCACCCAGGATTTGGCATCCCCCTCAGAGGAGCACACCCAGGCTGTCCGTACACACCCTCGTGGGTCTTGGCGTGTCGTTTCAGCTTGCTGGGTGATGCAAAGTGTTTCCCACATCCTTCCTGGGTACACCTGCATTGGCAACACATGAGGTATTAGCCAATCCATTTTCACAGAGAACTCCACTCAGGTCAATGGCACTTTGTCCTGTTTCTCCCACCGAAGTCTCTCCTCTTCCCATAACCAAACCCATGTTAAAATGGAGACCTCATCACAGGTGAGATTCAAGTTACTTGACCAGCTTTAGGGCAAAACAAACGGTTGGAGAAAAAAGTCACTTTACTTTTTTTAACCCAATTAAACAGTTTTCATCTTTATACCTCCGAAAATATACTCTGCTTTCATGGCTACAAAAAGATACTTCGAGAGGTTATCTGACTTGGCTTAGGTAAACCCCTAAGCCATTCTGAATCACTTGTGACTAGCTCTCCTAATGCTGCTGCACAGGGGGTGTGCAAGAGAGCACAGCGGTAGATGCCTCTGCCTCTGGTGAGCAATAAAAAGCACGTGCCCCCTTTGTGCTAAAACCATCAGCAGCAAAGAGGCAGCAGCAGACCCACAAGCAAGGAGAAGCAGGGTCACTGCAGCAACTCCAAGGCACAAGGCAGCCCGTGCAAGCTGAGGGAAAGTGCCAGATGGCCAGACCCATGCAGAGAGCTGCTGGCCCTTTTGCAGGTCTACCCAACTTGTCCAGCCACCCTCATGTTCCTCAAAAAACCCTCTCTAACTGCAGATAAACCCAATTACTTGTTTTGTTCTACAGGAAAAGCATAATGAATGTCTCCATAATGACCTTTCATATAGTTGCACAGGCTCTATTTGAATAGTTAAGTAATTTCGCAGCCTTTAAGCTTAACCACAGTTAGAATAATCTCAAAAATTATTTTCAAACACATTAAATACTTCTTTTAGAGCAAAGTAAACCTTTAAGATGCTCCCAATATGTAAATGTTCATATGCAGTACATATTAACAGAAAAATGTTGATTAGGAAGCTTTGAAAAGATTTGTCCCACTGTTGCTTTAAATGTCAATGGCTTTTCGGGTTACAGGTGTTTTTTCATTACATGGATAAACCCTATAGTGGTGCTGAGATTTTAGTACACCAGTCACTCAAGCAGCATACGCTGTACCCAACGTGTAGTCTTTCATCCTTCACCCCCTCCCCGAACTCCCCACTCCAAATCCCCAAAATGCATTAAATCACTCTATGTCTTTCTGGGCTCATAGCTTAGCACCCACTTGGTGAAAACTATGGTATTTGGTTTTCCATTCCTGAGCGACTTCACTGAGAATAATGGCCTCCACCTCCATCCAAGCTGCTGCAAAAGACATCATTTCGTTCCCTTTTATGGCCGTGTAGTATTCCATGGTGTATATACACCACATTTTCTTTACTCATTGGTCAGTGGGCACTTAAATTGGCTCCATGTGTTTGCAGTTGTGAACTGTGCTGCTATAAACATATGTGCATGTATCTTTTTCATATAGTGACTTCTTTTCCTTTGACTAGACTTCAGATTATACTACGAGGCTACAGTTACCAAAACAGGGTGGTACTGGTATAAAAATAGGCACTTAGACCAATGGAACAAAATAGAAAACCCAGAAATAAAGCCAAATGCTTACAGCCAGCTGATCTTGAACAAAGCATATAAAAACATAAACTGGGGAAAGGACTCCCTATTCAATAAATGGTGCTGGAAAAACTGGGTCCCTCTCACCTTACACAAAAATCAGCCCAAATTAAATTTATGACCTGAAACCATAAATATAATTCAAGAAAAAAACATTGGAAAAAACTCCTCTGGACATCAGCCTAGGCAAAGAATTCTTACTAACACCCTGACAGCAAATGCAACAAAAATAGAAATAAATGGGACCTAATTAAACTACAAAGCTTCTGCACTGCAAAAGAAATAATCAGCAGAGTAAACAGACAACCACAGAGTGGGAGAAAATATTGGCACATTATGCATCCAGTAAGAACGTATATCCAGAATCTACAGAGAACTCAAATCAGCAAGAGAAACAATCCATCAAAAAGTGGGCAAAGGATATGAACAGACATTTCTCAAAAGATATATAAACAGCCAAAAAACATGAAACAATGCTCAACACCACCCTTGCATTTCCAATCTTATTCACACCTAGAATCCAAGGGATTTTCAGCCACGTGAAGTACCTACTTGAACAGAGGTTCACTGGTATGCTGGCACTGATGGATTTTCAGCTGCTGATGTTTCTTAAAGGCCTTCCTACAGTCTTCAAAACTGCACTGTTAATTTTAAATTGTAAAGGTTCATTAGTCTTATGGAAAGTCAAAAAAAAAAATCAACAGTTCATAACAGAATCCTCAAGATAAAACTATTTTGGAGATTACATAATTGTTACTTTCACCCTTTTTGTTACTGTAAAATTCTGCTTTATCTCAAAAAGATTTCAAGAACCATATGACATTTGAAAAAGGAAAAATGTTTCCATTGGAATAGTCTCCCAATACACTTTAATTTGCACAATGTTTGCTTCCAGAATAAAACCTTTATCATTATGATGGCATTAAGTAAATTCAGACATTTGACACAAAATTTGGTTGACGAAAACTGTATTTTTCACTTTTATTTTTTAGAGACAGGCTATCTCTCTGTTACCCCAAAATTTTTTGTTTTGTTTTCTGTTTTTGTTTTTTTTTCAGAGACAGCATTTCACTATGTTTCCCAGGCTGGTCTCAATTTCCTGGCCTCAAGCTATGATTATAGGCTTGAGCCACCGCACCTGGCTGAAAATGTCAGCAACACAGGCAGTAAGTGTAAAAATAAATTTAAGCATATAAAATCATACTTACTATATATTGTTTTTGTTGATTTTCATGTTTGCGTTCAAAATGTTTCTTCAAGTTTGATTTTGTGTTGAATTTTTGACCACAGCCATTAGCTGCACAACTGTAAGAAGTTGTATAAACCAA